ACAAAGGTACCTTGATCTTCACCAGCTTTCTTTCAGTTATATGCAGGGTAGATGCATGGGTCTGGTACTGCCATGCTCACTCCTGAGATACAATTACCATTTCTTTTAATATAATCATTTCAATTTCAGTAAGGCTGTTTAAATTATGCTTTTAGAAGTGCTTAATCTCAGGAAGAAGCAACAATACAAACAGTTTTTATTTTTAAGCAAGTATCACCATTTTCATTAGTAGGACTGAAATTTAGGATTTTTTTCACCAAATGAGGCTGCTGTTCACAGAGGCTCGGCTATCTGTTTGAGGTTAGCACCCTGCCAATAGCCTAGAGGCATCCTGTGCTGGCATGCAGTCCCTCAACAATGGCTTATGGAGAAAGGTAAGAGATGAAGCAGATAAGGAAAAATAAAAGAAATCCACGCCTGTGTAGTTGGGTCCTTCTGATTTTCTCAGAGCTCATAAGAAAAATCTCATAAAGAAAGCACTGTGAAGCCATACCAGGGAAGACTATTATTTCCTTCAAACCCATTGTGCAATTAGCCTTGCATGAAACCAAATGACTTAAACGAGAGTAGAAGGTGATTCGAATCTCACAAGTTTTCATCATAGGGGCAGTAGAAAAAATCCACAACAGTCTTCAGGCTGCCACTTTAACTCATCGTAGTCACTAAATCTTAGTTCCCAAGAGCACTGGCAAGGCATTGATAGCTTGGCTGTTCTTGATCATCTATGCTGAAGGTAAACAAGGTTCCCACACAGCTATAACAGCCAACAAGCATATGCATCTAGCAACATTTGTTATTTGGTGAGCTTGAAATCAAGGTAATAAAGTCCCTAATCATGATCTTTGTCATCCACAGATAGCAACCAGATGAGAAAGGAATGTTGCTAAGAAAGAAACACATGGATTCTTAGATATGTTACAAAAGAATATTTTTAGTAAATGTAACCATAAAAAGAAGTGTGCAGCTTTAGCAACAAGTGAAAAGAATCCATGAGTGAAAACAACACATCCAGAAGAAGTGATGTCTAACAAAAATTAAATGCTAATGTGAAAAAAACACATGAAAGAGAAGGAGAGCAAGCCACAAAAAGACGTCAAAAAGGAGAGGTGGCAGCACGAGCAACATAATCTGAAATTCTCTCTGTTCCTTACAGATTTATGATTATTAAAGATCCAGATTTTTTTTCTTTTTTTTGTGAGGTCCTGTTTTTCTCAGCAAACCCATACTGTATCAACTTGGAAAAGTTTAGCTCTGTTCTGTAGCTTCACCTAAACAGTCTTGACTACTTGTGTCCTCTAAACGCTCTTCTAACATTGTCAAACAGGGTGTCCCCATTGAGGCCAACTGATTTCTATTGCAGTCTATGTGACAGAACACACTGAGAATCACAGCAGTCATGGAGAAACAAGTAGGAAACAATCCTTCTTCTCTCCAGTAGAAGAATTGAGGCCATCCAATGACATGAGCCATTCAAAACAAAAGAAGAGATAATTTTTTTCACAATCCATAATTAACAACGGGACTCTGATCCAGCTGATTGTAGATGCTTAATATTTTATTTGGGTTCAAAAAAATGGAGAGATTAGTGGAGAGAAATCTACTAAGAACTATTAAGTAGAAATACAGAGAAGTCCTTTGGCTATAAATCAGTGGGGGTTGGGAAAGCATCACTGGGAAGGCTGGGGAGGCATCTCTAAATGCTTGATGATATATCTACTTTCAGACATATCACACAACTATATGCCTGTTTTTACTCTTATCCCCAAGTATAAACTTTTGCACAATGTCACATAGTGCTTTGGTCTAACCTGGAACAGCATTTTTAGTGTTCTCAATTCTAACTACGATTTTGACTTTGTTGACAACTTTAGCATTCCTGCTATTGTGAGCATAAGGGACCATCTGGGTCTTTGAGTCAGTTCTCTGGAATAATCATCATTCATGAGACATGAATCTAGTTCAAACAGGTCCAAGAGAACACTATTCTCCATATGGGAGACAGCTCTCTCCTGCAATTGAGCAGGAAAACAAGATTTCATCACCAATGATTCAGATACCTCTAGTGGAGGGACTTGGTTAGATAAACATACCCTAGGACAATCCTATGAGGAGGACAAGAAAACAAACAGATTCCCCAAATACCAAACTGCAATAGCTACTGTCAATTCCTTCCTGACTTCCACGTTCTCAGTGTCTTTCAAGCCACCAGCCTTCACTATCTTCACACAAATTCTTCCAGAAACACACGAAAGGCACAATGCCTGCAGCTCCTGGCAAAGTTCTGCAGTGGTCAAACTTAGAGAGGTATGCAGCTCCCAACTGGCCTATCTGAATTCATTGTGTTGTATCTAAGTTCAAGGCCACAAACAACCATACACTAACATTTGCAAACTGTGCTGAAATGTATTTGTTAGTTTCAAGCTTGGATGTCGAGTGAATCTACAATCACCTCATCCAAAGACTGTTCTTTAAAAACTATTGAGAGGCAAATGTAAGACTGGGGAGCATCCCTTCACCCTCCTGCACTAGAGTGAGATACTGAGACATGCCTTCTGCAGCCCCACCAAGGGCAGCTCCAGCATTTTAGAGAGAAGTTTAATTCTGTACTACTAAAGACTTGATTTTGAGTCTAAAACTGGAACTTTGGGAACTTTTGCTGATATTCTGATCCAAATGTGTGAAAGCTCCTCATCTTATTATTGTTATTCTTAATAACAATGACAGAATTAGAGAACAGCAAGCCAATGAAGTCACCTCTTCTCCTCACAAAGCAGGTTTTATGGTCTGCAGCATCACAGTCCATCCAGCTCCCTTATGCCTCAGCTGCAGGAGGATTCTGAGCAATTTCTGCAGCACAGGCTTAAACCTGAGCACTTTCAGAGGGCACAAATGACACACTTCTCTGGGCCCAAGCTAGTCTAAGCCATTGATGAGAACTCTTGAGTTCTTCCTGAGCCAATAAGGCTGTAATTGCCATTTTGTTCTAGAATGACAGTAGTAAATCTTGATTATTTATTAGAAAATGAAAATCAGGCAAAATCTGAACATTGATAGCTGAAAATGAAGAAAACAAACAAAGATGCTTCTAGAAACTATTGATGCACCAGCATTACATGTGAAAGTGTAGAAATAACTCTTCCTTCCCTACACCCTAATGTAGGTAACTCGGGACTACAGGTGTAACCAAGGAGTGCAGCAGTAAAATATGCTGTCAACGTAAAACAAAATGGAACTTTTAGTTTTAAATAGCGGAATCACAAATCCTCTTCACTCCACTGACTTCAAGTAATTGAATGCCTGGAATCCACAAACCTCAAGAAGTCAGAGAAAGAATTGTGGTTGTGGATTTCCACAAAACGAGCATTTATGCACTGAATGGTCACAATGCTTTAAAAAAGAGCACTAGACTGTCCCCTCCGCATCTTACAAAAATAATGAAGCACCTGCATAATTCAAGTGACACATCAGTTCTCACTGTATGCACAATGTATACATTTCAAGAACTTTAACATACTAAGTCCCCGAGAACAGCAAGTTTTCAAGAAGTCAGGATTTGACAGCAGTCTCACAAGTATTGATGAGCCCCATCCAACAAGACCAGACTGATCACACGTGTGACAAGATATTGTCCCTCCCAGCTGTCAGCAAAAAGGTGAACAGAAATGTGCTCAAGAATACGATATTTAGTGACATGCAGGTCCTGCTCAGGTGGTCAAGTTGTCTTGGAAGAAAACACACTGCCAGGGAACATATACTGAACCTCACCAAAAGCACGTGATCATTAATCTCCGTAGGAGATTTCACATAAAGCCGGACAAATTCTGCTGTCACCAGTAGAGCTTATTTACTAAACAGTGAATCAGACTTAAGCTGCAATTTTTAAAAGAAAAGGACTTGTGTGCACAACAGTGCACATTGTTCTGTACTAATTATCTAGCGGCCCTTCGGTCTTTGCACTTTCAAGTTTTCAGCAACCCATCTCTGAACAGAAGCAAACAAAACACCTCCATAAAAAGCTGCCCTTAAATCAAACCAAATCCCCAGGCAGGGCAGGCAGGACACACATGCACCGGTGTGCTTCGCAGCCAGTAGCACACAGACTTCAGACGCACAAAACAAAAAGCATTCGAACATTCTTGCCACATGGCATTACATGTTTGTATTCCTCCCTTTCTCACGCATGCACAAACCCACACATTACAGAGAAAATAATGCTCACAGAATGGAACAAAGACCCTTTGTTATTAGAGAATCACAGAATCACAGAAGTGCAGGGGCTGGAAGGGATCTCAAGAGTTATTGTTCCATAAGGTTTTGGAAAATCCCCTTCTTTGTCTAAAACTAAACTAAATAGTGCTGCTTGAGTCACGATGATTTAAATACACAAAGCTTATACTGAAAAGAAACACCAATTTCTTTTAGAATTCATATCATTAGAAAATACAGACAAGCTTTCGAGAGCACAAGGGCCAATTTTCAAGCATCTTTATTCAGGGGAAAAAAAGCAGTAAATACAGCATCCATTCAAACGCACACACTCTGAAAGGACACAATTGGAGCTTAAGGCTTATCACACCCAGCTGTGTGACAGCAGAACCTCTCATGGTTACCTCCCCCCAAATAAAAGTGCTAATACACAATTAAAAAGCAAGCTTAAATTAAAAACAAACAAACAAACCCAAACCAACACCAAATACAGCAACAGAAGGAAACAAACAAACAAACAAACAAAAAACTACCAGCAAAATGCAGCAGGCTGTCTCTGCTTACAACAGTATGAATGAAGGAAAGATGCTTGACAACAAAAACAGGCAGCTCCACAATTAGGAAGGAACAAAGTATCAGACGAAGGGGATTGCTCACGGAGCACTGTAACGAGGAGTCCCTGCAGCAGCCTCTCCTAAGAGGCTGCTCTAACGCATATTTATTCTGAAAAGCTTAACAGCATTCCTACAATAAACTGCAAGCCACAATACTCTGCTGACAAGGCATTTGCCTACCTGAAGCTTCATTTTCCAGCACGAATGCATGCACGTATCTCCAGCGTAGCTTCCCTTGGTTGCATGACTCCTGTTAGCCAGCCTAAAGAGACGGAGCCGTGTAAGCAGAGCTGCTGACTGCCCTACATTTGCCTGCGGATGAAGAGAAAGAGTTGCTTCTGTACTTGCCTGGGCTTGTTTAAGCCCCTTAAATGTAGTACTAGTGTAGCTCAAACTAGACTAACTACTTCCTCCAGCTGATCCAAGTGAAAGGAGCGAGTGATGAATAATGCATGCGAGCTCCCAGAAAAGCTCATTCGTCACTGCAGCTGATGTCCACCTCTCCCCGCTACCCAAAAACAATCCCTAGCAATTCTTGTGCTGTGAAGCATAGCGATTCTTCCCTTATCTAAAGAGCAAGGAGGATGTCCTTCCTAGATCCATTTTCTTTCCTCTACTTATTAGTAGATCTGGTGATTATATTATGAATTCTAATACTGAAAGCCCACACAGCTAGAAGTCAAAGAAAAAATGGTAACCAAAAGACCATATCTCTAGAATATCCGATACCAGCAAATTCAGCCAGTTGTTCAGAAATTAAAGTTTCTTACTCCTAAGGGAATAAGAGGAGCCACGTAAAGATGAACATTGAAGGCAGAGGAAGAATGGGACAGACTGGAAAACAATACTGCAGAAAGAAGGTGGTAAATAAAAAACCTGCCGTAGCTGACAGGTTCAGCTGGCTGTTATAGACAAAACAAATTGTTTAGGGGAACTTTGTGGGTGGAAGAATATGGGAGATAAATTCACGCAGTTCTTCTCTTGAGCAATAAATTCCACTCATCACTACAACTTCACAAGCTAACTACAAAGATCACTTACTTTTCGATATCCTTCCAGACTGAATAAATACAGGACTAATTTGCAAATACTTCATTTGCAATTACTGCAGTAGGCATATGTCAATGCGTGCCACTTACAGATTCTATTCTATTTCCCCGAACTGTTTTGTTTTGCTTTGATTTCTGCCAGAGACACAAGTTATCTGGCATCTGTTTATCAGTTATCTGCTGCGGTCCAAATGACAGAGCCATCTCAACACACTACAAAGGTTCTCTCAAGTGGTTAGTTTCCTGTAAACGAAATGTAGCTTTAATGTATCGTGCACCAAAAGCAGTGTCTGTGCATGAACCCAGTCTTTCACATCACATCCTACCAGCTAAGCAATTGGGCTGAACGCGATAGAGACAGGAAAACTGCTTTATAGACAGATCTTCTGTTTCTGCAAAGGCAGCCGAAAGGAATACACCTTGTCAGAGAGAACAGTCATGTGGCATACTCAGAGCCTGCACTATAACCAGACAGTAGCAGATGAAACAGCTGAAATTAATCATTCTGAGCGCAACGCACTTCTGAGTTGTGAAATGGTATAGTCTGCTCACTTCTATGTACCTGACTTGATTTCGTACATTCCAGTAAGTGGTAAATTTAAACTGCAAGATTAGCTCTATCAATGGCAGGGTCCAAAACCTGTCTACTCTCATACTGCATTTTGATTAAACATCAGAATCTTCTTCTCCCAGTGCCAGCCCTGCAGACTCCTGCAGGCACACAGACTGATACCTGTATCTGCTTCTCACAGAATCACTGCTAACAAGGATTTTGCAGTCAAAATTTCTGCCTGGACACCTGCACTGCCATGAATTCACACTCTAGATGTCTGCTTTAATATCTATGCTTACAGCATGGAAACTAGAGTCTAGTTCTGAGGTTGTTTTTAGGCTCTAAGTTACTGTGGCTAACAGGTTTACTGGAGGGGAGGGAGAAAAATCTGTCATTAACATACAGTTGTCAGGCTTTGTATACCATCAAGGCTTACTTAAGAACATTTGCCCTTTTCTACATCACTACAGCATTCCAGAATGTTAGGTCAGAGGTTATGAAGGTTGGTTTCTAAACTCAGTCGATAAGAAATAAGGGGACAGACTCTTGAGCAGGGTCTGTTATGACAGAACAAGAGGAAATGGTTTCAAACTAAAAAAGAGGAGATTAAGACTGGATACAAAGAGAAAATTCTTTTTAATAAGGGTGGTGCACTGGCACAGGTGTCCCAGAGAGGTGGTGGATGTCCCACCCTTGGAGACATCCACAGACAGACTGAATGGGTCTCTGAGGAGCACGATCAAGCTATAGGAGGCCCTGTTCATTGCAGGAGAGTTGGACGAGATGACCTTTAAGGGTCCCTCCCAACTCAAACAATTCTAAACACAGCAAGCTGGAAGAGAAATCCGGTTTAATCACATTCTGCTCCAGCATTACAGTAAAGGGCTGCCCCAGAGCCATGCATGCTCATGGCCCATGGGGCCGCTCCCACAGCTTAGGTTGGCAGCAGTGTATTTCTGGGAGAAACAAACCAGAGCACAAACAGATGAACATAAGCGGAATTAAATGCTGTTAATTATTTCAGACAATTCTCTCCATTGTGTATTTCAATTTAAAACTTAGCATGAGAAAATTCAGTCCTACCTTCCTGTTGGAAATGATGTTTTATCAGAGAGATTTAAATTTAAAAAAGCACTTTCCTAACTTTTTAAAGGATAATGAACACAGATTTTTCTAAAACAATCATTTCAATTCACTAAAAATTTAATCAAAAACCCACTCATACACAAACCCCAAATTTCAAGGTGTTTCAGAACTGGGGGGGGAAAAAATTGGAATCATATATGGAAAGCATAAGGCCACATGGCAAACAACTCCAAATTGCTATGAATTAATGGATTTTTGAAACAGCTTGTGATTTCTTATGATTCTTATATTTAGGAGACTAGAAAGATCAGTTTAAAAATTAAAGGGGTTCAGTTGAGCAGTTTTCCATTTTATTCAAAACGATGAGCATTTTGTAGCATTGTCTTGCATGCCTGAACAATGATGTTGCAGCTGTGAAGGAAGAGATGCAGGAGGCCTCTCCACAACAAGAACTGTGCAGAGCAGAGTCATCTTTCATTAATGTGCACTTACTAGGTGAAACTTGAAATAATGTGTGCAGTGTCAGCTGAAAGACACATCACTTCATTACATGCTTATGCTAGAGGCCAAGCTGAATCATGTTGCTTAAGTACTCAGCAACTGGCTGGCCAGTTCATTTTACAGTCAAATTTTGTACAGTCTATTTAGTTTCTCCCGTTTTTAAATAACTGCCACCTCCCGGGGAAATTCTCTAGTAGACCATCTGCTCATTTCCTATAAAACCTTTTCTCAGACCTTGCCCAAATTTCCACTGCCAATCCGAACTTCTTTGATGTATAGGTAGTGGCGGCAATGAAATAAAAAAAATATAATTAAAAAGTACTCTGAACTGAAGTCTGCAGTACAAAAAGGCACTTAGTATCCATGAGATAGCGATAGAAAGGCGGTTGTTTCTCTGCAGTGTATCTCAGCCAGCAAAGAAGCCTTTCTGATCCTTCCTAGTCATGGGTTAGGAGACAACAGTCATCATCCAGAGGCAGCTCATCTTGCATCTTTAACTTGGTATATTTCTGCCTGAGTCGCTGCACAGCCTTGGAGGGCAGTGCAGGGGCCGCATGCGAGCATCTCCCAATCTTCTTGGCTGCTGCCTCACTTACTCCAACCTCAAGCCTACCCTACAGCTTCCAGCTGGTGGACATTCCTTGGTCCAAACCAAAGGAAGGTGGAGGAAAAGAAGAACCAATGTGGATGGCACAAGGGTAAGAGGAATAGAGGGAAAGAGGAAATAAGGAGATGCTAAATATCAGGAAGTGTTTCCTGCCTGTGAAATTGCATGAAATGGTACTTGTTGAGAGGCTTCTCTCTTCTTCATGAAATGCTGTAGGCTGCACAGATGCAATGTAAAACTACTTCCAAATAAACAAGGCTGGAAGGAGCTTCTGCAATCAGGGAACACACTGAGGAGCTAACAGACTTTGATATAGCAGATGTTTCTCCCAGTATATGTGAATTTCATAGTGGAAAAATGAGAGGATTTTACATCTATTTTTAATGAAATTAGCATCAGTAATCAAACTCTTTACCCAGCATTAACAAATACCACACAAAATCCGATGCTTCCATGCAGCCGGCAGAAAGACAGCAGCACATGCTGACTTGGGTCTACTGCTCGTGCCCAATTCAAGTATTTGTCACTGTGACACAAAATTATGCTTCTACAGAGCAACGTAAAGGTGCTTATCCAATTGCTGTGGGTGTCACTAATGCAGCTACAAAACAAGAGTGGAATAGAACAATATTGCCTGTAGAACTTTTTTTAAAAAGGATTAAAAGATGGAAGGAAAAAAAAACAACACACAAGAAGCACTTCACATTAGAGAAAATTGGGTGATTGAACATGAAATGAAAAGGCCAAACTTCCCCTCATCATCTACAGCTTTGGCTCCTTGTTCTGCTTTTTGGCCTTGGCAGGTATAGCTGACTTCAGAGTGGCGGACTGCACACAAGTTCTGCCCAGCAAAACCGCACATGTGGGAACTAGTTAGGACACTTTCACAAACATTTGAGAAATCTAAGAAGAAAACCAAAACCCAGAACTTTCTTATAAAGAGGAACTGCAAGAGCTTCCTCAGAAGTTCTTCTGAAAGGAAAAACAAACAAACAAAAAAATAGATTCAAACCCAGCAATAGCTAAAATCCACCTAAGTCTTGTACAAAGTTTTGACAGAACAGATGCAACAGACCTGGGGCCAGGGCTCTGCATTAAACATCTCAAAAATCCTGGTTCTAAGTCAGAACATCAGACTTCACAGTTCCTCATCTCAATAACTGAACAGAAAAAACAGCAGTGCCATAAAATCAGCTGAACTCATCTGCTTCCCTTCACCTTGTAATCCCCGGAGGCTGTCTGCCTCAGCCAGATTTACCACAGGTAGCAAGACTGAAGTAAGCCTTCAGCTGTCTGCTCTCTGTGGTCCTGCTGGCTTTCCCAAACCATCCTGTGGATGTGGCAGGGATGCCAGGGTCACCAACAGCAGCTGGCTGCATCTGCACTGCTCCTGGGATGCTGGGCCCGGGGCCTGCTCCTCACCTTGCAGCACCTGGATGCTTTGCCAGGTGCTCTCAGGCATTTCATCCCCACCGGTTCTGCCCATCTCATGGAGGGATGGCTTTCCAGAGGCTTT